ATCGGTCTGACATGACCCCATAAACTGTCTTCTACATCGGTCCGACATGACCCCGTAAACTGTCTTCTACATCGGTCCGACATGACCCCGTAAACTGTCTTCTACATCGGTCCGACATGACCCCGTAAACTGTCTTCTACATCGGTCCGACATGACCCCGTAAACTGTCTTCTACATCGGTCCGACATGACCCCGTAAACTGTCTTCTACATCGGTCCGACATGACCCCGTAAACTGTCTTCTACATCGGTCCGACATGACCCCGTAAACTGTCTTCTACATCGGTCCGACATGACCCCGTAAACTGTCTTCTACATCGGTCCGACATGACCCCGTAAACTGTCTTCTACATCGGTCCGACATGACCCCGTAAACTGTCTTCTACATCGGTCCGACATGACCCCGTAAACTGTCTTCTACATCGGTCCGACATGACCCCGTAAACTGTCTTCTACATCGGTCCGACATGACCCCGTAAACTGTCTTCTACATCGGTCCGACATGACCCCGTAAACTGTCTTCTACATCGGTCCGACATGACCCCGTAAACTGTCTTCTACATCGGTCCGACATGACCCCGTAAACTGTCTTCTACATCGGTCCGACATGACCCCGTAAACTGTCTTCTACATCGGTCCGACATGACCCCGTAAACTGTCTTCTACATCGGTCCGACATGACCCCGTAAACTGTCTTCTACATCGGTCCGACATGACCCCGTAAACTGTCTTCTACATCGGTCCGACATGACCCCGTAAACTGTCTTCTACATCGGTCCGACATGACCCCGTAAACTGTCTTCTACATCGGTCCGACATGACCCCGTAAACTGTCTTCTACATCGGTCCGACATGACCCCGTAAACTGTCTTCTACATCGGTCCGACATGACCCCGTAAACTGTCTTCTACATCGGTCCGACATGACCCCGTAAACTGTCTTCTACATCGGTCCGACATGACCCCGTAAACTGTCTTCTACATCGGTCCGACATGACCCCGTAAACTGTCTTCTACATCGGTCCGACATGACCCCGTAAACTGTCTTCTACATCGGTCCGACATGACCCCGTAAACTGTCTTCTACATCGGTCCGACATGACCCCGTAAACTGTCTTCTACATCGGTCCGACATGACCCCGTAAACTGTCTTCTACATCGGTCCGACATGACTCCATAAACTGTCTTCTACATCGGTCTGACACAACCATCCAGTGTCCTCTACAACGTTATGACACCACCATACAGTGTCTTCACCATCGGTCTGACACGACCATACAGTGTCTCCTATCCTTTTTTCTTTTATGTATTCGTCTATTTTCTTGTTTTGTTACTCTCTCCAAACTCAAGTTGGCTAGTTCCTATCCCCCTTGAGTTTGCGGGGGGCTGTTAAAACCTATCACCTACTTCACCCACTTAAACCTACTCCACTAAACCTAACCCACTACACCACTACCACCTCACCTACTCCACTAAACCTAATCCACTACACCACTACCACCTCCACTTCACCTACTCCTTACCTACTACACACTCAACCTCTTCTATATATAGGAATCATGATCATTGTAATAAATATCAAGATACAACAATTAATAATACATACAATTTATTCTCTCTCTATCAATTTATTTTTACATATAGTAATAAAAGAGTCCACGTCATCTCACCTATTCAGAGATAGAAGTTTGTACTTGGACGAATAGGTCTATTTTTTTTAAAATAAACTGCAACAAAAAAGAAGATACATTGCGCTACTCCCCATTATGCCACTGTAGTTTCAAATGTTTTTATGCAATACTAGCCATAGTTTGCGTTTTAAGCCCAACAAAGAGAAATTACCTAAGAAATGAGCTGCTTCATGTCTAGCAATCCTATCCTGGTAATCAGGAAAAAGTGATGAAAATCCACCAATGGCAGCTTGAAGAAGCCTATATTAAACATGTAAAATCATCTTTAGAACAAGGATCCCGAAATTCTCTGTCAGCCCTCAACTGTGCTCTTCTTCAATAATTCATTATACAATTTAAAAGTGCCCAACTGAGCTAACAATTATACAATATTCTGATTTAAACATCATGGTAATTCAAAATTGAAAGGTTTGTTGACATATTCAAGACAGCCTGTAGTAAGGAAATAACGTAGTTAATGCCTAACAACTTACCCAGGTGAAATGCTTCCCACAGCCAAAACTACTAAAGAAATGCTCCCAATCAAGTATGGCACAAAGAAGCCCCAATCCTAAGTGACAATTACATGTGGATAAGAATGTTAGTAGATGTGAAAATGCCTCAATTTCCTTCCATTCTCCTTACAAAAAAATAAAATAAAATGCATTAGTCTGACAGCCTAACCATAATACATATTGGTGCAAAACAAATATCTTTATTCATTACCCAGATGAGTTGAACATTAAAGACATTAGAATCATTACTCACAATAAAGGAACTAAAATGTGCCAATCATAATATATAGTAGACAACACAAAGAAAATGAAACAGGTCAGTGACCCAATGTTCAGGGTAAAACTATATACACGCATGAACAGGTGAGTACAAAAAAGGGTTAATTACACGAAGACCCCTTCAACTATTAACAAATATCACTTTACCCCTTTGATCTATAAACTCATCCATTTTGACCCCTTCAACTATAAAAATACTTTCACCCCCTCCAGACCACCTCTAAAAAGGTGCGTATTTGTACGATTTTCATGGTTGAAGGGATCAATATGTACGGGTTCATAAATCAAGAGGACAAAGTGACACTCACCAATAGTTAAGGGGGTCTTTGTGTAATTAACCTTATAAAAACTATCTCATATATTATGTGAGATACTCTACAAAAAACATGTAGCTTGTATTTGTTATATTTCTATAATGTCTTTAAAACATATCAAAAGTCATAGAAGCAGCCATCTGATAAGAAAGGAATGAAAGAAGCTTCTATGAGCATAATCCACAGCTACAATTGTACTTCCTTTATCCTTTGTTCCTTGAAAGTTATAGAAAATAATCAATAGATTAAAAAAAGAGAAATTCAGAACTCTACATAATATGAATTTGAAATTATTTCTTATGACAGTTTATTAATGTTTATGGACATCTACAGAGAAAGAGGATATTATGTGAAGTTACCCCAGGAAGCTGACCGGCAAGAACACCCAAAAAGCCTGTTGTCCCTACCACCGTAAAGAGAAAAGCTGCCTGCATCACTGAATTAAATCAAATTCATGGAGAACATAATATTTACGAATTATGATGGTTTAAGTCTTGCAAAAATAAGAAAAGAAAATCAAATGGAAGGCACAGGTGTCATCAAATTCTAGTCTTAATGCAATATTAGAATTTCAATAATTTCAATCACTTAGAAACTGGTAAGAGGACAATAGAACAAAGAATACATGTTGAAAACTGGCAAAATATATTGACATCCCGATGCATAGTGTATCCTGCTGATGTTGGAATAAGGTAAAATGCTGTCCTGTTCAAGTTCTTGCCCCAATTTATGCCGCAAAAACTAATCTAGTTTTTTAGCAAACCAATGTCTTGGAATCTTTTTTCCCAAACACATGTTCTTAACTTCTTTTTCCTATAACTAGGTCGTTTCATCAAGTCATGCTTTCAGAACACGATTTTAAACCACGTGGAAAACTCAAAACTCATCCATTATACCAAATAATTAATGGTAGTCCCAAAAAATACATAATGAAATTTATGCAATGGTTTGTATGCTCTTCTATTGTTACAGGTTAAACAAAATATTTAGTGCAGTGCAACTTACATCATTTCTAACACTTGGGATTGCAAGGTTCTCCGCGTTTTTAATTCCAAGAGTTGTCAGCTCCCGAAGAGAGGTCTGCCGCATAAATTTGAAACAGTTAAACTACATATTTTGATACCAAGTACATTAATTAATAAAGTTTTCAAAGCAGTAAACAGATGTACATTATTTATGTACATTTATGCATAGATTTGTAGATGTGGCTAATGTTTGAGTAGCACTTTCCCAGAACTTCAGACTATTCATGGACACTGACCATATGACGTGATACATACGGTTGAGAACTCCATTTGTTTGCATAACCAACCTCACTCAGCGGATCAAGTGCCTCTTTGACAGCACCACTGTCTTTCTGCAACAAATCATAGAGTTACTTCAGTAAAACTTCTATGCACTGTCATCGAAGGTGATGATACTGCGGGTTCCAGATGGAACGGATCGAACTAATCCACGTTTCCCAACATGCCTTGTGCACTTGGTAGAACCTTAAGCATGTCTTTCGGTGTTCAATATCTCTTTATTTTGGAGTAAAGAAGTTTAAGTTTAAATAAAAATTAAAAAAAAAGGAAACATCTCTTTTGCTTTCAGTAATATCTTACTCAAACTGATAGAAGTGAGAAAACAAATGTTTAAAAAAATACAAGAATAAATGTCCAACTCTGTAAGCCATCACATTTGTAAACCACTGTAATCACCCAATTCTAGACTTGCACAAACTAATTGATATTAGCTCACCACTACCAATAGTGCAAAGGACTCAATATAACTAGAAAAAATACAAATGTAATAAACATTTATCCATCTAAAACTGGTTCAACTGATGCTGTAAAATGACAAAAGAACTCATGTAACACTATATGCCTGAAGCTTCCAATAAACAGTAACAGTTTGTTGTTCAATTATAATGTTTCAGAGCTTTTGATTATTATTTTCTGATAAGAAAAATTTATTAACCCAAAAGTGAGCCACCTAGGGGGGAAGAACATTATACACTCAACAGCCAAAACCAATAGGATATACATCAAATGGCATGCACAAATCACCTATGAACTCTGCACAATAGAGTCAACAGAAAAGGGCAGTCAACCAACGAGGCCTAGCTAAGTTGGCCACCATGACTCTCCTAAGGGCTTAGTACCAAGGAGGAGGTCATGGGTTCAACTCTCCCTAAGGGGGAGTTGAATTAGGCGGCAAGCACTTTGTGCTTTGCAATGGTGTTGAGGCTAACTCTCATAAGTGCTATTCTATAACTACTAACAACTGACTTTTGCCAATAAAAAAATAAAAAAACAGAAAACGGCAGTCTCTCAATCATAAAAATTAAGGAAAGGAGTAAAGATCCTTTCAAACTACAAATTGGAAGCTTGACACCATCAAACGATCCCCTATTTCACTCCGTCCATATTGTCCACAGAGCACATAAAGTTGTGGTCTGCCAAGCCTTCCTCTCTGATCTCTTAGCGCATCTAGAGCTCCATAAATCAATAAAAATAAGGCATAACCCAAACTATACCAAAAATCTGAAAATTAGATCCACTCACTTGCGACCAGACAATGAACAAGGTGATTCACTAATTCCACCACTTGCTTACACGTGTAACATCAATAAATAATCAACTTGCACCTTTACCGAAGGTTATCCATGGCGAGAATGAGAATAGCCTGAAAAGAAGTTCTCCAACCAAAGAAATCAATCTTAGGAGTCTTATTCCTTTATATACCCTTCCAAGGAAAAGAAGAATCCCAGTCACCATACATATCCCAGTATAAAGACTGAACTGAAAAAACTTGTTTAGAAACTCTCCAAGCCAAAAGATCATGACCACCACTCTATCTCTGAATTATAGGTCTTTGTAGATTGGAGTGCCCGCCCTTGAAAGCCCTCTGAAACTGTGGATTCCACACAATGTCACTCTAAGACACCTCTAAATAATCCCCCACATTCACATGAAAGTCAGTGATTAACTGATTCAAACCAAGAAATACCTCCTAAAGAAGTCTGTAACCACACTGTGAATCTAACCAGAACCTCACTCTTCTCCCATCACCCATCTTAAAGAAAATCCTCTAAGCAAAATGAACCAACCACCTCATAATTCCTTTCCACAGAACCATCCCAAAAGGCCCCCAATAGCTATTCTATTAGACCAATTACCCAATCCCTCCCATACTAGTCCTCGATAACCTGTATAGCAAAATTGTATTACTACGTCATGTTTTGGTCTTTTCGTTTGTAATTGCAAAGGTAGCCACCCTTCCAAAATACTTTCAATCCTCACCACAATTATTAAATTAGAAATGTTTATAATTCATAGTTGTGTTTGATTATCACTCATCGTGGTTGCTTTTAATTACGAATTTAGTGATATTAGATAATGATATATACTGGTGGTAGCTATGAAGCAAGTAAACCCACAAATTCCTTTTTTTAAATTCGAACGGTTAGAAGTGGAGATATGTACTTTTTTTTGAGGGTGTGTACACTTGGTATTTCATAGATTTTTATATGTTTAGGCCCAAACTAACGTAATGTTTTTTACAAGGAAAATGATATATTGCCAAAATTTTCTTACAGAATTTACTTTCAAAATGATGTTGCAGTGACAAACATGTAAATTATGTTCACATAGCACTAGTTGTTTCGTTTGTATAGCCCTACTTTTGTACAATATTTTTGTTTATATAGCATTACTTGTTTAACAATATATATAAAAAAAGTATATCCATAAAATCCTATTTTCTTCTGATTTTGTTTTCGTTTTTGACATATAAATTTATTCTATTATTGACTGAGAAATTAATTTGCGAATTTAATGATATATATATATATATATATATATATATTTATTTTTTTAAACCTTGGTTGAAAGCCTCCAACTTATGGATCCCCAAGCTACCCTTGTGAATAAGAAAACACACCCTATATTAAAAGGAAGCAGCTTGCCTCCCGTCCGAGATCAGACTGGACGGTGCTGTTCAGCCCGTAGAGCCCACCACGGGTCCCATTTTGACAATTCAAGCCGTTCAATGTATAGAACTTGTCGAGTACTATATTCATGTGAAAAATCACATTGATCGGATATCGATAGCTATCTCATCAGATCAGTTTTTTTTCAACCGTTAATTTGTTCACCATTTATTTTTTTATACAAAACTGATTTGATCACATAGTTATCTAAATATCCGATCAACGTGATTTTTGCTCTAAATATTGAATGGTTCAGATTATCAAAAAGAAACTGTGGACCCTCACGGGCCGAACAGCACCGTCAATCCGATCTCGGACAGAAGGCAAGCTACTCCCATATTAAAAACTGAATTTTTTACATTTTCTAAAAAAAACATGTAAAAAATAAGAGAGATAATATGATTCAAAATAAACCAAACCCCTTCTCAAAAAGCTCATAATTAAAGTTAAAAACTCTTCCCCAAAGAAGGAAATCCCTATGAAATTTCTCCAATCTCTGAGACATTGAGCAATGACTAATGAAAAGGGACATCAAATAATTGGAAAGGCTTGAAATTGGAGATAAAAGAGGAACCTCGGCAATGGCTGATTCGAGAGTGGTGAATTGGACGCCAGAAGAAGCAGCGGAGGAAGCTCTGATCCGCCATTTCCTCAATTCAAAGGCCAAGTTCAAGTGTGTACTACTACTGCTAGTAGTACTAGGCACATATAGAGATGCAGAGGAGAGCGACACAGACATCGACGTCGTCTTCTTCTTCTTCTTCTTCTTCTTCTTCTCTCTCTGTGTCTTGTTGGTTAAGTCGATAAGGCTGGCCGCGAGGAGGGAGTAGATTGTTTGGATATGCAATCCCAACGACGTGGAATCTGATTTTCCTTGCAATTCATTTTTCCTCTCATCCTCTCTTCTAGCCTCATATTTTTGTCTCATCAGCTTCCATCCATCATCAATTTATTTGCCAATATCAAATTAAAAAAAAAAAAAAAAAAAATAATTATAAAAATTGACTTCCAATCCTTCTATCATTTATATTAAATTGAATTTTGGAAAAATTTGAATGACATTTTCTGAATTTTGAATTTTTTTTTTAATAGAAAAATTGGCAAAACACCAATAAATCTCAAATTTTAATTTGATAAACCATTTGGTCTTCCCTTTAATTTTGTAGACTAATAAGTCCTATTTGAACGTTAAAAGCTCACCATAGGCCTTTTTTAAATTTCCCTCCTTTCCGAACATCAGCAACATTAGCTACATCAGAAACATCAACTGCATCAACTGCATCAACAAAACATCAACTACATCAGCAACATTAACTACACCAACAATATCATCAAACATCAAATACATCATCAAACATCATCATCATCAACATCAACAAACATCAACTACATCATCAAACATCACCAACATCATAAAAACATCATCAACATCAACTACATCATCAAACATCATCAACATCACCAACATTGTGAATATCATCAACATCAACATCAACTACATCCTGTATACACAGTTATGGAACGATCACCAACATTGGTGTATTAGCTAATTATTAATACTCACTCTCAATGCCGAGATCATCGCGTTACGATCTTCTCATAGGCTGATCTACAATCGGAACGATCGATTCGATTTCGATTTCGATTTCGATTTCACACTGTGCTCATTATTCGGTAACATTGAACATCATCAACATCAATTGAGAGCCTCCACACCGACATCAACTGAGAGCCTCCAACATTGATCATACATCATCAACATCACCAACATTGAACATCATCGACATTAACTGAGAGCCTCCATACCGACATCAACTAAGAGCCTCCAATATTGAACATCACCAACATTGAACATCTTCAACCTCATCAAACATTAGTAACATCAAAAGGAACTGAAGATGCCTCATTTCCAAATCGAGGAACTGAGAGCCTCCACACCGATCTCTCTCTACTTTCTCTCTGTCTAGATCCTCCCCTGATCAACGTCGTTTCGCCACCACTGACCTCTCCGCAGATGGCAATTCTCAGATCTCATACACTCCAATTCTTCCTTCAACGGGGTCTTTTCAGAATCCTCGTGCTCGTGCTCGTGCTCGTGCTCGTGCTCGTGGCGGCGCCGACATTCCACGGCGGTCCAAGCTACGTCCGCCACCTCCAACACCGTCTTCGCCACCTCTATTGGACTGCGACCCACCATCTCTCTCTATATATATATATATATACAAATTGCAGAGAAGAAAAGAGAAGAGAAAGAGAAGGGAAGAGACGGTAGGGATTGATTATATATGTACGGGGAGCAAATATTCCGGCGTGCCCGTATTCCTTTCTTCCGAGCTCCGTCGATGTCCGATCACCTGCGAGCAAGTAACAGTGAGCTACCCGGCGGTGTGTGGCCGGAAAAACCCTCCGACGATCAAGTTAGCACACACCTTAGGATGGATAGAGAGAAGGGAGAGAGTGTTTGTGTGTAAGAAATTCCTTACAGAGTGTTCGTGTGTCGCGTATGGGGGGCGCAGACTTGCTTATATACCTACTGACCCCCATATCCACTCCCTGTCATCTCCTGACACGTGGCTCTGCTATCCCATCTGTCAGCATAAACCATGCCATTCATCACCTAATCTCAACTGCCTGTCATCACAGCTGGAGCTCGGCAGCCGAGCTGCCCTACCTCGGTCATACCATGCTTCATACTTCAAGCGCCTAACCGGATAAACACACGGAGGACCGGGCTAAGCGGCATCCCGGCCGAGCCTAGCCCGGATACTTACTTTGATCGGCCTTCCTGCCGGTCAAACAACTACCTCGGCTGACCACGCCTTTCCGGGCGCCGGTCACTCGGTCTGTCTGGCTTCGACCATCCTCGGACCGAGCAGCCTGGTCCGATCGGTCACTTCCTGGCCGAGCAGTTTCTGTACGGTCCGGGGTGGCACACAGTCCAAACTCTGCCCGGCCCAAGTTCTGGCAGCCCCTTTCCGGGCGGATAGTTGATCAGCTCAACCCCATGCACCGTTGGGCCCTCAACCTGCTCGGCCGTTACCTCGGCCCAACTCCAGATCATAAATTACCCTCTCAAGGATATATATCCAAATTGGGCTCAGTTTTTGAGTTTCGCATAGAAAAAATCAGTGTTGTAAAATCTATGCCGTATTAAGAAAATTCAGTTGTAACAATCAGACAACATTTCTTTTTTTATTTTAACTGAACCAGCAAGAGGCTCCTATATGGTCCCAAGATGGTCAACCATACAGAAATAATAATCATGGAAGATAAAATTTGAACTTGGCACAATCTTGATTTTTCAACACCAAAAACTTAGGTGAACTTTTAGTTACAGACTTTAGCTTCATGAAAATGAATTTGTCGTATATTTTCTCAGCAGGCTCCTATCTAGCACCCACCCCATCAATATAGTTTAGTAATTAAAAAGATGGTTTAAACAACCAATAGCACCTAACCCTTCAATTTGATAACTCTTTTCAGTTGTAGGCAGTTGAAAATTCCACTTTTCACAAAATAAAATGACAGGGAACAAGTAACAATAAACACAAGAATAAGGTCAAAGTACAGATAGAGTAAGGTCAAAGTAAAAGGATTGAGAGTACGAGTAGCTGTCTGCATTTTACGAACCTCTTTTTCTTGTTCTTGTTCGTGAGCGATTCGTATTCTCAGATTTAAGGCAGTGTGGTACATCTCATTTAAAACATTATCCCAAAGAGTATGCTTATTAACATTCCACAACAAGAACTGTGACTGTTTACTTCCGTATGTGACTATTTTCTGCAAGGAAAATGAGAGAATATCATAGATACGTCAAAAAATAAAAGCTATTAATTATCTTTATAGTACTGGAGACACAAATGAAATTGTCATTTGATGTGCAGATGGGTAGTTCCGTTCAGCCAAAAAATAGAAGAAAAAAGGCTCAATTAGGACACCGCATTAATGGATGTTTGGGAGGGGTTAGATTGTGTACATACCTAACCTTTGGCATAAAGGCACAGACTGACTGTTCTCAGAACCCATAACCTCTATATTAATTTATTTGTTGCCAATATAAGATAAAAAAAAAACCACATCCAACATAGCGTGTACAAAATAGAAGAGGACAGACATCAAAATTCTGTGACGAGACAATATGTTCTTTAGAACTGTTGTGTATGTGTGTATTTCACTTTGTATACGTTAAGTAAAATAAATACATGCTTATTGCCACCAGATAAGAAAAAGCAACTCAATAAACCTAGGAAATACAATTTACCTCCATATGCAAATAATCATCTTTCCACAGTTGATATAGGATCTTTGCTGTATCTTTCTTTGCGACAAAAGTGGTGTTTGAAATCTACAAATGTGAAATCATAGGTTAAATAATAAAAAGCAAAGTGAGTGCACATACACTAGAACACCAAAAGGGAGGCAACTGACGTATCAACTATCAATCTAATCAGAATTTTTTATCTCCCCCCTAAGCACTATTACATAAGATGAAAACAAGAAAGGTTTAAGAACTTAACCTATAACATTCTTTACAATTCACATCAGGCTCACCAGACGGGAAATAGTGAGAGCCTCATGGTTCTAACAATTGATAAGCTGATACTCTAATTCTCTACTTTGTCTTATTTTATTTTTCATTACACCAAGATGTCCATGAGCAACTGAGTAAGAATAATCCCCACAGATTAACACAATCACTGACAAACCACCTGCATTATGTAAGCTTGCAGTGTCAAACTTGAGACATTTGGTTCCTTAGGCATCACCTCAAACAACTCAGTTACCCTTGCTAGTCAATATTTTAACTCCCTATTTAGTAATTCCAAAATTTTGATTGTGGCCGACTTGCAGAGAAACCTTCACATATGTTTCACATACATCTTCAAAAAAATCTTTTAGTCAAGTAGTTTGTTGGTTTAATGCATTCAAAAATGCTCCCCTGCCTGCAACATTCAGATGGTGATATCTCCTATGAGTAAATTCACATATTTCTAAAACATAGATTTCACCAACAAATGCTGCTATGGCCTATTCAGCATCTGCATTCAAATCCGCACAATATGACAAAAAGATCAATATAATGACTGATTTCCTTTCCATATACATATTCATGTAAAAGTAAAATGGCAACCCGCAAGAGTTTTTCAATATTATTGAATGCCTGTAATTGACTGTAAACATATTTACCAATCACATTTTCTTACCTTATCAGTCTCAACTAAATGACCAGCCTTTGAGAGTAACCTGAATATCCTATAAGCCTCCCTCCCATATCTCTTCAACACAATTGATTCCACCTACAGCACAGGGCATGTGATTAGGATTCTCACTGAGATGAAGGATAATATGCAAAAAGAACAAAACAAAAAAACACCTCCTCATTCTGAGCCAGTTCAATAATGCTCTTCAAATCTGCACAAGAAATACAAATGTGCATCAGTTGATGCATAATGAATATTAAATCTAAATTAACATTCATCAACATTGAACATCATCGACATTAACTGAGAGCCTCCACACCGACATCAACTGAGAGCCTCCAACATTGATCATACATCATCAACATTGAACATCATCGACATTAACTGAGAGCCTCCACACCGACATCAACTGAGAGCCTCCAACATTGATCATACATCATCAACATTGAACATCATCGACATTAACTGAGAGCCTCCACACCGACATCAACTGAGAGCCTCCAACATTGATCATACATCATCAACATTGAACATCATCGACATTAACTGAGAGCCTCCACACCGACATCAACTGAGAGCCTCCAACATTGATCATACATCATCAACATTGAACATCATCGACATTAACTGAGAGCCTCCACACCGACATCAACTGAGAGCCTCCAACATTGATCATACATCATCAACATTGAACATCATCGACATTAACTGAGAGCCTCCACACCGACATCAACTGAGAGCCTCCAACATTGATCATACATCATCAACATTGAACATCATCGACATTAACTGAGAGCCTCCACACCGACATCAACTGAGAGCCTCCAACATTGATCATACATCATCAACATTGAACATCATCGACATTAACTGAGAGCCTCCACACCGACATCAACTGAGAGCCTCCAACATTGATCATACATCATCAACATTGAACATCATCGACATTAACTGAGAGCCTCCACACCGACATCAACTGAGAGCCTCCAACATTGATCATACATCATCAACATTGAACATCATCGACATTAACTGAGAGCCTCCACACCGACATCAACTGAGAGCCTCCAACATTGATCATACATCATCAACATTGAACATCATCGACATTAACTGAGAGCCTCCACACCGACATCAACTGAGAGCCTCCAACATTGATCATACATCATCAACATTGAACATCATCGACATTAACTGAGAGCCTCCACACCGACATCAACTGAGAGCCTCCAACATTGATCATACATCATCAACATTGAACATCATCGACATTAACTGAGAGCCTCCACACCGACATCAACTGAGAGCCTCCAACATTGATCATACATCATCAACATTGAACATCATCGACATTAACTGAGAGCCTCCACACCGACATCAACTGAGAGCCTCCAACATTGATCATACATCATCAACATTGAACATCATCGACATTAACTGAGAGCCTCCACACCGACATCAACTGAGAGCCTCCAACATTGATCATACATCATCAACATTGAACATCATCGACATTAACTGAGAGCCTCCACACCGACATCAACTGAGAGCCTCCAACATTGATCATACATCATCAACATTGAACATCATCGACATTAACTGAGAGCCTCCACACCGACATCAACTGAGAGCCTCCAACATTGATCATACATCATCAACATTGAACATCATCGACATTAACTGAGAGCCTCCACACCGACATCAACTGAGAGCCTCCAACATTGATCATACATCATCAACATTGAACATCATCGACATTAACTGAGAGCCTCCACACCGACATCAACTGAGAGCCTCCAACATTGATCATACATCATCAACATTGAACATCATCGACATTAACTGAGAGCCTCCACACCGACATCAACTGAGAGCCTCCAACATTGATCATACATCATCAACATTGAACATCATCGACATTAACTGAGAGCCTCCACACCGACATCAACTGAGAGCCTCCAACATTGATCATACATCATCAACATTGAACATCATCGACATTAACTGAGAGCCTCCACACCGACATCAACTGAGAGCCTCCAACATTGATCATACATCATCAACATTGAACATCATCGACATTAACTGAGAGCCTCCACACCGACATCAACTGAGAGCCTCCAACATTGATCATACATCATCAACATTGAACATCATCGACATTAACTGAGAGCCTCCACACCGACATCAACTGAGAGCCTCCAACATTGATCATACATCATCAACATTGAACATCATCGACATTAACTGAGAGCCTCCACACCGACATCAACTGAGAGCCTCCAACATTGATCATACATCATCAACATTGAACATCATCGACATTAACTGAGAGCCTCCACACCGACATCAACTGAGAGCCTCCAACATTGATCATACATCATCAACATTGAACATCATCGACATTAACTGAGAGCCTCCACACCGACATCAACTGAGAGCCTCCAACATTGATCATACATCATCAACATTGAACATCATCGACATTAACTGAGAGCCTCCACACCGACATCAACTGAGAGCCTCCAACATTGATCATACATCATCAACATTGAACATCATCGACATTAACTGAGAGCCTCCACACCGACATCAACTGAGAGCCTCCAACATTGATCATACATCATCAACATTGAACATCATCGACATTAACTGAGAGCCTCCACACCGACATCAACTGAGAGCCTCCAACATTGATCATACATCATCAACATTGAACATCATCGACATTAACTGAGAGCCTCCACACCGACATCAACTGAGAGCCTCCAACATTGATCATACATCATCAACATTGAACATCATCGACATTAACTGAGAGCCTCCACACCGACATCAACTGAGAGCCTCCAACATTGATCATACATCATCAACATTGAACATCATCGACATTAACTGAGAGCCTCCACACCGACATCAACTGAGAGCCTCCAACATTGATCATACATCATCAACATTGAACATCATCGACATTAACTGAGAGCCTCCACACCGACATCAACTGAGAGCCTCCAACATTGATCATACATCATCAACATTGAACATCATCGACATTAACTGAGAGCCTCCACACCGACATCAACTGAGAGCCTCCAACATTGATCATACATCATCAACATTGAACATCATCGACATTAACTGAGAGCCTCCACACCGACATCAACTGAGAGCCTCCAACATTGATCATACATCATCAACATTGAACATCATCGACATTAACTGAGAGCCTCCACACCGACATCAACTGAGAGCCTCCAACATTGATCATACATCATCAACATTGAACATCATCGACATTAACTGAGAGCCTCCACACCGACATCAACTGAGAGCCTCCAACATTGATCATACATCATCAACATTGAACATCATCGACATTAACTGAGAGCCTCCACACCGACATCAACTGAGAGCCTCCAACATTGATCATACATCATCAACATTGAACATCATCGACATTAACTGAGAGCCTCCACACCGACATCAACTGAGAGCCTCCAACATTGATCATACATCATCAACATTGAACATCATCGACATTAACTGAGAGCCTCCACACCGACATCAACTGAGAGCCTCCAACATTGATCATACATCATCAACATTGAACATCATCGACATTAACTGAGAGCCTCCACACCGACATCAACTGAGAGCCTCCAACATTGAACATCACCAACATTGAACATCTTCAACCTCATCAAACATCAGCAACATCCAAAGGAACTGAAGATGCCTCCTTTCCGAACCGAGGAACTAAGAGCCTCCACACCGATCTCTCTACTTTCTCTCTGTCTAAATCCTCCGCTGATCAACGTCGCTTCACCATTGCTGACCTCTCCGCAGATGGCGATTCTCAGATCTCATACACTCCAATTCTTCCTTCGACGGGGTCTCTTCGGAATCCTCATGCTTGTGCTCGTGGCGACGCCGACATTCCACGGCGGTCCAAGCTACGTCCGCCACCTCCAACACCGTCTTCGCCACCTCTATTGGACCGCGACCCACCATCTCTATATATATATATATACAAATTGCAGAGAAGAAAAGAGAAGAGAAAGAGAAGGGAAGAGACAGTAGGGATTGATTATATATATACATTAACTACATCAACAACATCAACTACATCAGCAACATCAACTACATCAACAACATCATCAACATTATCAAACATCAACTACATCGGGACTAAATGGTTTAAGAAAAATCACTTAGGACTAATTAGAGTAACATTTACTAAAATGGAATTTATGAGTAATTTTTCCTAGAAAAATTAAGGTAGCGTTTGGTAAAGTTTTCTAAATATGATTTGAGAATAGAGTTGTATTTTGAGTTTATAAGTTTTGGAATTATGATTTGAGCGTAAAAAATTTGTTTGGTTGTGGTTTTTGAATAGAGTGTTGAATTGAGTTTTGAATTGAGTATGAAATTAAGTTTTGAAAGTTTGATGTGACATGTGAAATAAGAAAATTTGTTTGGTTATGAGTTTTGAAAAAAAAAAAAATTCAAACTTAATTCAAAAAGTTATCATTCATAATCAAACATACAACTCAAAACTCGATTAAAATTTTTTATCAACATTCATAACCAACCTCTTTTTAAAATTCAATTCAAAAATGAATTAATAATTTTTTTTGAAATAATTTTTTTCAGTTAATTTTTTTTCCTAATAATTTTTTTCAATTAATTTTTATTTCAATTTTTTTTCAATTACTTTTTTTTCCAAATAATTTTTTTTTGAAATAATTTGCATTGCAATTATTTTTTTTCAATTATTTTTTTAAAATTAATTATTTTTATAATTATTTTTTTTCAATTATAATGTGTATGATCTCATTGTCATAAAATAATAAAAAATAAATATAAATATTTTAGACCTGAATAAACATTTTTTTTTGTTTATGTTTGTTAAATTTAGACAATAAATATTTTGTTCAAATCAAATGCGTTTGTAATTTATATTTTTTTTAAAAAAAAATAAAAACTAATTAATAATATTTTTGTAAATAGAAACCAAAAATATAAACGTTACCAAACGCTACCTAAACATTTTTTCATTTGTTAAATTTTATCACTTTGATAAAAAATTCGTGAACCTATACCATTGTCTTCACCTTCATTATTGTGTCTCACCTGTCCATTTCACCCGTGAAGTGGAAGTACCATCAATAATATTCGTGTGGCTATTCATTGATGTATTTGACATTAAAATGACCACATTACCCCTCTTTCAGTGAATACTAAATTCATATGATAGAAAAAAAAT